ACCAAAACCTCACCATGCAAACCCAATACACGCGCTCAGCAGCTGTTTCTTTCCTCTCGCAGTGCGTATCCCTTCCTAAACTCTGTACTAGTAAAGCTGGCCCGCTGGTTAGGAAACAGGCTTGGAATATGAAGCGCCTTGCTCTGTTACAGACTTCACGTATAGTGTTGGGCAGTTGTTGAATATCTTTCTTGATAATGAGTTTACGGTCTTTTGTTGGAACTAGGAAGGCTCCTGCTATAATTCTAATTGCCTGGAAGCATCCCAAAGCCGTAGTGTATTGTGATACGCTGCTGAGGCAGCCTGCAGGACAGGAAGGGGAGTGCAGTACTCGGTTCCCAAAGCTGGCGTCACCTCATCCTGGTAGTCTGTGATTTATAAACAAGGAGTGAAGAAAATTGACTGATGGCACACAGGGCTTTTACGTTCATTTGTACTGTTTTGGGGAAAAGAAAGAAAGAAAAAAAAAAAGGCAAAGCCATGTGTACTAGCTCCCAAAAAGCAGAGGAGAACCGTGGAAGTTAAAGTACTGTAGCTAGAATAAGCCATTTGAAATAAGCTTTCTTTGTGTCTGTTCAGCCCAAATGGATGCCAAGAGCAGCGTGTGACTCCAAATTATGACTCTGTACATAGTGGTTACTGTGAAGCTAAGAGATTGGAGCCTTGATGCTTGGTTCTGTGGTTCCAGATTTAAATGAATATTCAGTTGTCACCAGCTAGGCTTGTACCTGCTGCCTTCCACTAAAAACCAGAATGTTTTGGGTTCACAAAATGAATAAGGGACTACAAGCAGAAAGAATGCACAGTTAACTTAGTGGGTAAAACTGAACGTACATAAATAATATCTGCTAAAAGTGCAAACTTTAGGGTGTTGCGAGGAAGGAAGGAACGTAACCAGATTTAGCTTTTCCCTCGTGCAACCTTTCATTCTGTTGATCACCTTTGGGAAGGACGGCGCATTGTTCTTTTCCTGCTGCCCTAGCCGACAATCAGACCCAACTGTACCATGTGGCTCTTTACCGGCTTTTATAAATGCTCTAACAATCCAAATTATTTTCTCAGTGTTTGTTTATCCTCTGCTCAAATTAAAGTGTTTTGGTGAGTGACTTTATACGAGACAGTCTGTCATGTTGGGATTTTGCAGGAAATATTGCCCAGTAATTATGGAGGTGTTCTGATTACAGATTTGTCTCCCTTCTAAAAATAGCCTTGCTTCCAAGTAATCTGCTTGCCACCCTCTTCTTTGGGCTGCATGCCCAAGGACATCAAAGCTTTGATACAACTGTTACTCTGTGAAAATGCCGTAGTGTTTTCCTAACCGCTCCTTCGTGCTGTCACTGCTTGGGACAGTGGAGTAACCTAGATGCACCGACTGAGAGTACAGTGTCTAAAATCACCTTTATGCAATAAACTTTCATCTTCTCATAGGCATTTCCTACTTAAATGTGATCTCTCTCATTTAAAAACCTTCCTTTTGCCCCTTCTGGGCAGTTTTGAGCACGGAAAGTTGTCCTGTAGTCTTTGAGGGCTTTGACCTGAGCCCACACACGGTAACTGGAACGTGTGAGTCGGATAGGGTTTTCGCAATTGAATCATGAGTGATCATAATTCACACATCACAAGCTGAATGCATTCCTCTTCCTCTTAGTGTCTTTAGATCTCCTAGGAATAGAACCAAGGACACAGCTGTCATTTGGGGGGTCAGTTTTAGCTTCATTCCCCAATAAACTTGGCCGTACTTGTAAATCCTTACTTCAGGTCTTACCAAGACCAGCTGGGTAATTTTCAAAAGTCCAATCAGCAGAGGGAACTGGGGATCTGTTACAGTCAGAACGTGTTCTCCTATACTTGTGCGTTAGCTATCCGATGGTTCAGCTTTGGAAGTGTCTCCCGTTGTTGTAAATGCTGCAGCTTTTTCGCATCGCACTTCAGTGACTTTAGATGCATGTGTTACCCCTCCAGCCTGAACATCCCTTCAGACAGTCAAAGGATACTGAAGAGAGGCTAAAGGTCATTCCCAAATTCTGCTTTCCGGATCCCAAAGACTGGTGTCCTGCATCAGACCTTAAAAGGTAAAGACTTGATTTTGAATACTTATGCCTGAAATGGGCAACGCTGAAAGCTGAGGTGTGCGCCGCTTTCCCGGACCGGAGGAACTGCAGCCAGAGCAAGGAAAAATGGGAAAGGCTGAATCCCTACCCCCTGTGCCAGGGGAAGGTGAGCTACGGAGGTGGGCTCAGCAGTGCTGCTTCTGCCCGAGCACCGTCTTTTCTCTAAGAAGGAAGTTTGTAACGTCGGATCACGGCCAGCTCCCGGGGCTGGCAGGGGCTTCTGCTGCTCCTTGGCAGAATGGCAAAGCAGCTGGGAAGGAGGAGAGCTGTAGTAGCTCAATGAGAGTCCACGGGCTGCAGGTTTTTACACTGCATAGAGCCTGAAGTAGCTTGCTAACCACAGCAGAGGGTCTTCAGCATGACCAGAAAGAAAATGGCTTGTAGTTTGTGTGCTTTGTCAGTCTCTTCTCTGAACTGTGTGGTGAATTTAACTGTCCTTTGGTCCCCCCAGTGAAACGTTTTCTTTCGTGTTGACGGGTGAGGATGGCGGCCGCTGGTTTGGGTACTGCAAGAAGCTCCTGGTAAGCATCTGTGTATTGGGTGGAGCGTAAAGAACGCGTTGATAAAGGCACAGTCAAACGCAGGACGTGAATCGGCAGTCATCTCCCACGTGGCTTACGTAGCACCTGTGCTGCTGCCGACGTTAACGGCCCGTTGAGTGCGCAAGGGAAGGAGCAGGACGATGCCCAGCGATGCAGTGAAATGGGCTGTGGGCGTGAAAGCTCCTGGAACTGATCGTTCCTCAGGAATCTTTTAAGTCAGAAGTGTAGTGGGAGCTACAGCAGAAGGAATTCTGCGAATCAGCTACGGTGTAGGTGCTAGGTTCTTTATTGCATCCCTGTTCTCAGCATACCTGTTGCTGTTGCCTTTCAGCCAGAAGGGAAAGGGAAGCGCCTTCCTGAGGTATACTGCATCGTGAGCCGCCTGGGCTGCTTCAACCTCTTCTCCAAGGTGAAGTGGGGAGAGCCTGTTACTTCTTATCAGACTTGAGTCTCTGACACCCCGCAAGCTCCAGAAAGTAACTGCATGCTTCTGTCCAATCTAGAATTGTTTACTGATTGTAACTTATCCTGGGACACTCGTGCTTCCTTGCTGCCTTTGCGTTGACAGGGCAAATAAAATGATAGTAGTGCTGAGACTCGTCAGCTGATACACGGATGACTATTCACTTCCTGACAATAATTTGCTGAAGGGTATTAGTGATGGTGGCCCTTCATCATCTTCTTGTGTGACTTGGAAATGGAAAATCAGTTTAAGGGGCTGGGGGGAGAAGATCTCAGCTTGCTTTCTCCTAGCACCGTGAGAAGAGTGGATAGAGAGGTAAAGGCTGGGGAAAGCTATTGCAGAAGAGTACGGGGACAAGCTTATGATGAAAGCTGATTTCTAATGGTTGGAACACAGAGTTTCTAGAACAGTGTTTCAGAAATACTTCTTGGGGAGGAGGATGGGGGCATTGCTGCTTTTACTCCTCTAACTAGTTGTGAGAATTTGATTCCCACATACAAGATGTTTCCTTGCAGTAGCAGGAGACTGGATTTGAGAACGGAGATTTGTACTCGCAGGTATCTATTCCCTTTTGATTGTTCAGGCATTTGAGGGGAGTTTTCACAGGGATCCCAGGTGAGGGGAGAGAGGGCTAGGTGTCTGTGTTGGAGCCTTCACGTGTAGCTATGGCACGGGATACTCCGAGCAGAGGCTCGTATCTCCTCTGGCTCACCAGCAGGCATTGAACCAATCTCCGATGTATTTTCTTGCAGATTTTAGATGAAGTGGAGAAGAGGCGAGAGATGTCCCCAGCCCTAGTACATCCATTTATGCGTAGTGTAATGGAGGCGCCTTTCCCTGCTCCGGGACGCACGATTACTGTGAGGAGTTTCCTGCCAGGAGCAGGAAATGAGGTAACGGAAATCAGGACTGGCTTTCTTGTGTCGATGGTGTCTCTGGGGCAAAGCGGCACTTTGCAAGCTGCGGTGTAGCGTGATGCCGCCTGTAAGTAGTTAATCTGAAGATAAAGTCCGAAGGGAGGCTGTCACAGAAACCGACTTCCTATTGCATCATCTACAGTAGAAGCGATTCCCTGCTCTTTAAGGAAGAGCTGCTGGGGAGTCCTCTGCGATGCCCTGTGCCGACCGCCCAGGCCGCGGGGCTCCACTTGTGAGGAGCCACCGGTTCTGCGCTGCAGCCGGGCTGCCCCTTGTCCGGCCTGACCCTGCGCTGGGGCTTTCTCCTCCAGCCCTCTGCATCTCTGCTTGCCTCTCAGGTGATGGAACTCTGCCGGCCACTGGATTCTCGACTCGAACACGTTGACTTCGAATGCCTGTTTAAGTGTCTAAGTGTCTCTCACGCAATTCGGGTCTTTGCCTCTCTCCTGCTGGAAAGGAGGGTGATCTTTGTCGCTGACAACTTAAGGTACAAAATGAGTCTGAGTGAGCGATACTATTTTTTTCTTCTGTGTTTGGGCCTGTTCCATGTGCAAGCTTGTCTAACTTTTTGTAAATAGTTACATTTAAAAGCTGTTTGCAGACTTTCCACACAATATGTGCATGCGTAGAATTTGGAGTATGCTGTTTACCCAGGAGGAGATAAGGGAATGTCTCCTTTACCTCTTTAGTCTGGGTTGATGCTATTCCTAGCTCCCCATAACTGACTTCAAACGCGGATGCATGGAACTTCTGCTGATGCATAAACGATATACGTGAATTGCGTTTCCCCTGAGCGTTCCTAACCTGTGTCCGTAGCCGAGTACCAAACGAGACATTGACGATCCACTCTGTGCTTCTCTTACCTTTCTAGCACTCTGTCTAAATGTGGCCATGCTGCAGTTGCAACGCTCTATCCCTTCACTTGGCAGCACACCTACATACCCGTCCTACCAACTTCTATGATTGATATTGTGTGCTCTCCGACCCCATTCTTAATTGGCATTCTCTCCTGCTCGTTACCACAGCTCCAGGACCTGCCCATAGAAGAGGTGAGAATTGTGTGAAGCACAGTGGAGGGACAATGTCAGTGGTACGAGGCTGACCTCTCTGGAATAATCTCTGTGCATTCTGTCTTAATAGAAACTCTTAAAATTTTCTGAGCCAGTTGGTGAACTTACCAGATACACGTTGGGGTGTTTCATTGTCATCAAAGATAAATAATATTCCCTGTTCTTATAGACAAGCTGCAGTTATGCAAAACTTGTGTTTTGCGTGTGACATCCCCTGCCGCTGGGGACATTTAAAAAAAAAAAGGAAAAAGTGTTTGGTTTTTTTTTTCTGTACAGCAACATATTTGGTTATAAGAGTCAGCGTGTTTTGTACATCTTTCCCCAGGTTCTCATTGTTGATCTTTGTGCCGACAAGTTCTTGCAAGAGGTGAGTGCAATAGCAGTACCAGTCACTCACGGTTACGTGCCAGGAAAAGGCATCAATGAAAGAAAAGGAAAGCAAGAAATGAGCAAAAGCTAGTATTCGTATATAGACTCCAGTGCAACAAATCCTTGTTGCAAGATTGAGGTTGCATGAGGTACAGAGCTCTGCGAAGCCAAAGGTGCTGTTTATCTGAGCTGGATTTGAAAACAGATACTTCGTTGGTTCACGATGTGAGGTGGACCGCCAGGATTCTTTGCTGGTTTTTGGCTTTCTCTGTACTTGTTCTCTACGGGGCTTTCTCCCCTCTCGTCTAGCTGGGGTGTGTTTGTTGCGGTTTGGTTGTTTTTTTTTTTTTCCAGGAGTGATAGTCTAGGAGACAAATTATCACAGATCACTTGTGGTTCTCTGCTGAACTTTACCTAATGTGCTCCTACATCCCCAGAGAAGTAGTTGTAAACGCACTGGAGTGTTACTAGTTCAGGAGGATATTTGCATCTCCTTTTCCTTGCCTTACTGTTCTGTTTTGCATTGCAGCCTGCAACTGGAGAGAGAGGTATTAAAGGCTCAGGTTGTTTTGTTTTGTTTTGTTTTTTTAACCGTAACATTGAGACTTGTCATACTTTCTCAACAGACTTTTGTTGTTCTTGTGTGTTTTATCACTGGTATAATAGTCTGTGTAGTGGATATAGCACGCGTTGTTCTGTGTTGGCCATTTGTGTGCGTGACTGATCCCTCGTAGTTGGAGGGTGCTGAGCAAACCTCTTTCATTTCTGTGGCTACAAGACAAATGTATTGTCTCCACCGAGACACACCGTATCACAGAGTAACTTCCCTCTAACTGTATTAGGCATGTTACGAGTATTTCTTATCTGCTCACAATGAGAAGGTTCTGTTGATGATAGATAAAAGACAAAAATGCTTTCGTGGCCATTTTTCTCTTTAGGTATCGGACGAAGATGAGATCCTGCCTCATAAACTCCAGGCTGCGCTTGTACAAATCTTGGAAGAACGAAGTGCAATCTTGTCACAAGAGCAGAGTGACGCACAAGGTACTTCTATGGAAAAAGCATTTTCCCATTAGCAAATCTCTACAGCTTCCACGTAGTTGATATAAAAATGAACATATGGAAATAAACATTAGGAAGCAACATTTTAGAAAGCTATTTTCCTGTGAGCTTACTGGGAACATCTTTCTCGTGAATGTGTTAGAAGCTTGGTGTCCCCACGATGTTCCTCTTCGCACGGTCGGTATGTGTAAAGCCCTCGTTCTCCTTGGGCCAAGTGCATCAGTTCCCATTTTTTAAATTTTCTTTGATTTTTCTTAAACGGCAGAGAGAATGTTTTTCTTAAACAGACACCGCAGCAAGTTTCTGTACTTTTGAGGGTGATTTGATGGATCATTTTCAAAGTTGAACTGCTTTATAGATAACCTGTAAAATAAATAAGCGTGGGAATTTTTAAAAAGCATTGAGTAGCTTGAGAGAATGGCATCGGCAAATCATATAATTCCGTGTGCATCAGAAGTAACAAAGTTAGTTTTCCAGTGGGTTTGTGTTCTGTAGTTTGCTTAATTCTCTAAGAGAATTAAACTTATGAGCTCACAGCTTATTAGACACAAGATGTTTGACAGGGGAAAAGAAATTACGAATGCTTTAACCGCTGGAAAAGCGTTAGAATGGAACCGGTCTCGACCGCAGTAAAAAGTTGACATGGGAGAGAAATAAATCTTAATATTTGAGCTGTGGCTTCTTTGATATCAAACACTCATCTGAAATCTCACAGTCTGAGCCAGCCTAAAAAGTAACTGCCGCTCCTCTTTTAAGAGCGGCGTGACCAAAGTGATGAATGCAGAGGGCCATTTCTCCTCTGCTGTCCTCTCCCCAGGTGATGTGCCTCTTAACTCCCTGGTCTCTGAAGCTTTCGTGCAGTTCTTTGTGGAGATCGTTGGACACTACTCCCTGCACATGAATGTCACGGAAAAAGGGGAGCGGGTGTTTCAGCGGGAACTGTTCCGTAAATCTCACGGTTCACGCAACGTGCGTCACTTCTTGCACTTCTTCATGGAAACGCAGATGTTTGCAGGGTTCATACAGGATCGAGAGCTAAGAAAGAACATGGTCAAAGGTGAGCTTTGATCTTACTGTCTTCTTTTACAAACTCACTTTCAAAGTATAATATTATGTGACTTGGACTCTTCAGAAGCCTTTTGTTCTCCTGTTGACATTTTGGCATATGTAAATAGCTTCATGCTCTTCTAATTACTCAACACAATACATCTTGTGAAGCCAAGAATTTTTCAGTATCTCTCCATTCTGGGTTTGATCCTGCAGCTCACATTAAATGCATTATTTCCTTTTTGTAACCTCCTTGTTAATGATGTAAGATGCCACATGCTGCAAGATGGAATAGCTCATATAGCTGAATGATTTTTTTTATTATTATTATCATTGTTTTTTCTCTTTAGGCCTTTTTGAGGTTCGTGCCTTGGAGTATTTGGAGAGTATTCCAGAGACAGAACCAACTGGAATGAACAAAATCCTTCGCAGTCTTGGTAAACAGACATCCTTGCTTTCTCTTTTTTTTTTTTAATGAATTTAGCTATTGAACAAATAATTGCATGCAGAAGAGAGCAAGGCCCATCCTTTGCCTTGGGCACTTGTGTTCCTTCTGTCTACATTCGCCCCTTCGGGGGACGCCGAACACTTTGTAAGATTTTTCTCTTCTTTTTAAGCTTTTGCACGTTTAGGTGGAGTTTGCGGCAGTTCCCTGGCCCAGGGGAAGCCACGTCTGCCAGCAGAGGTGGCCACCCATGACTTTCCTCCCCGAGATGTTCCTCAGCCAGATGACGCCTGGAGTGTCATCAGCTCCTAACGTCATTTTTTTTTTTCTTTCCCCTCCGTAGGAAGTAAAATGAAGTTTCTCCAGAAGAAATGAACGTGCGCTGCTGCGGACCGGGGGATGCCGCTTGTTCCGCGGCCGGAGCCGGACTCCTCTTTGCCTCCAGGAGGGGCTGGGGGCTGAACCCGGGGCTGCCCGGGGGCGCGGGCGCTGGT